ATATCACACTTGTAGCCACCCTACCATAGCATGACGTGACATGACCTTCCCTCCCCCCTTCCCTAGTTCACCACATTCACCAAATCGTTTGGTCCAGTTCACCCCATATCAGATTTTCTCATCTTACTTGACCTCAACCCCCGAAACCAAACACAGATCACTCGACTCACTAGTCCAACACTTTGTTCAAATTACTCATTTCAACTCTTATGCTTCTTCGTTTTACATAATCATATAAATGTGCGTTCACGGCTGGATGAGAGCACGCGAAATTGATGACCAATATCAATTCTGCCCACATATGTCTTCTGATGTTGTTAAAAGTATTGTCGAGGTATCTGCAATAATTATCGAAATGTCGAATTGTCTCTCTCAAATTTTCGTTCTCCTGTTTGGCTGGGAACATATCTGCCAATATGGGACCTAGTGGGGACCCAAAAGCCACCCCGTCGATTTGTCTGTAGAACCGGTCATTGTACAAAAACTATATGTTAAATGTACATCTGAGGATCAACTCTTTCAATTTGTGCACCGGAATGCCGACGTGGATGTTGTTAGAAACTAAGAAGTCGCGAATATGCCCAACTGTCTCTATCTGCGGTACGTTTGTAAACAAGGATTCCACATCGGAGGACATCATGGTTTTGTTGAGAACATTGAGGTTTTTTATCTTCTCTATAAAGCTAAAGGTATCCTTCAGACTATGTTTGATAATCTTTCGGCGTATTGGTTTTAGTAGTTCTACGATCCATTGGGCGATGGCATGATATGGCGAACTCGACATTTCAATTATGGGTCGTATCGGAACGTTTGATTTATGCACCTTCAGTAATCCATAGAGCTGCAGCGGCGAGGATCCAGTCGGAACCAGCTTTTCGAAAACCACTTGTGATATGTGACCTTCTATCTTTAGTTCTTTCAAGATGGACGTTAACATAGATTCCGTTTGCTCTATCGTCTTTCTCATGTGGTCTAGCAGAAAATTTTGTGAGTCGCTGAGGATATTCTCTAGTTTAGAGTGGTAATCAGTTTTATCGAGTAACACCCAGCCGGCCCCTTTATCCGGTCGAGACATTATGATATCGTTATTGGAAGTGAGATGTTTCATGGCGTCGATATGTTTCTTTGTCAAAATAGTTCTTGTCTGTACTTGTGTGTTCTAATACTGGTGGCAATAGTGTACTAGAGATGTTTTGAGTTGATGAGACCCATCCAGGTCGAAACAGCTGTCCAGTGCTTCCAAGCTTTTCAGTTCACGCTTCATTTGCCGTGTACACGACGAACTACCTCTTTGAAAGTGAATCAAATCCTCCATCACTCAAATTGTATTATTACTTCATAAGTTTCTTTATGTGCCCATTTTGGGATACAATGTGGACACGTGATCTAAATTGACACAAGGATATGCAGTATGCATATTACCACCGGGCTTCCTCGATTAACTTCAGCAATCGCTTTCACGTCAATATCACATGGTATACAACTTGTAGCTGTCTGTGGACACATTGAGTCAGTAATCTAATCTTTGATTGAGCGGTCAATGTGAAACCGTTGAACACTTTACTTAATTCACTTAAATAGTGGGAGATTATATATAAAATTAGAACGGGATTGTTCGTATAATGTCAACGTGCCAGACACCATTGAATGTCCTCGTTCTTTCCTGTGACCAGAAAAATACACCAAAAGGAGGACAGCAGTGACAGATTTGAAGTACCTGCGAAAGTTTCATAGTTTATTAATGCGTATTTCCCAACTAATACAGACTATACCTTTTCAACTTCAAGTGAATCCAACAAATCACATTCTACCAGGAACCGAAAAAGGTGTTTCGTTCTTCTGCCGAAACACGCCACCGATTGGACTGGGTATATCAAAACCGAGTCCTGTGAACTGATTTTTCCGTAGACAAAGGTGCGTTTTGAGCGAGTTACCGAGCGAGGATTAAAATTTCGGTGAGTGGGGTTGGAATGTTTGTTCCCCCCCCCCTGACTCGGTGGGTTATGTCCTTGACCACTGATCGTGTGACCAGAATGAACAAACCCGGTGGTAAGTGGCCTCGGTCGGCCGAGTAAGGAAAAAATCACGTCCAAATAGATCGATAAATCGGTCACCATGCTCAAGCTTAAATGTCGGAATGAATCACTGCGTGAGTGGGTTCAGTCTAGGTTCTCACTAGCCTAGTGAGTAAATGCCATCGAGACAGAGGTTTTCTCGAATAACACCGATTCCTGTCAACCAAATGCAATCGCCTGCAAATTTCTGGAATTAAAAGGTACAATTGGCAAGATACTTAACAATGGTACAATGGTACAATGAAAGAATTAACAGTATTTCACCTGATTAGGAAGATTAGATTTGAACTCATTCACCAGCCAACAGAAATTACATTTTCTCTCTGTAACTCCCGAATGACTTTCGCTTTTTATCCACGACGCCAATGGCAACAACCTGTCACCTACAGCTTCTCTCTTTGTTACTCAGCGTTGTCGCACATTTTATCATCCTTGTTGCATCATTTATCATCCGTGTTGTATCTTTTCACAGCCTGATTACATTTGTGCAATTCTTATAGTTCAGTGAGTGGGACATGTGGTGCTGCTCACAGTTGTACATGATGATGTTTCTCCATGTACCAGGGTTACTTTCCCCAAATTTCCCTGTACGAATTGGTGACCGGATAAAAACTCTTCTCATACGTGTTGGAGGATTGGGTTGTTCATATGTTTCTGAAAACCAGATTTTACATGCAGGCAACTAATAATCTGTTAGAACATAAAACAGTCAAATCGAAGAGTTCGATGTAAAGCGGCATTCGAACAAGTGTGTCCTAGTCAAAATTAGTTCCAATATTAGTGAATTTCAATATTTTGTTAACTAAACTCAACTTATTGTCTCGATGAATTTCCTTGTGAGTACTTTTCAAGGGCATGACAGTAATTTAAATTCTGAGTATGCAGTTAAATACTTTAATCATATTCTAGTGAATGGCTAAACCGCTTGCATCGTACACCACAAGAAGCAGGTTTGAAATAGATAGGGGCATACGATAAAACATTTTACGCTCACAAAGATAACAGTCAATTACGACTGAAGTGTAAATTATTTTGTTTTATTTCAATCGTGCAAAACACATTAGTGGGTAAGAAGAGGCGTCAAATGTGGCAGCTTTAGAACAAACTCAAATACGAGGAGAAGATTAACAGCGATTTCGGGAAATGTTCTAGGGGTAACAAACTTGAATAAATGGATACATGTCGAAAAATTGTTGAGGAAAAAACGTCCTGTTTGTTATTGCAGATAAAATACGCTCCGACTAACAATGATCATTTATCAGTAAATCATTTAAGTTTGTTTTCTGAAGATCTGAGCAAACAACAGGAGAATGTGTAAAATAACAAAATCCCGGGGAAAAAACATCCCTTTGAGGGAGCCATTTTGTGGTCCCCATTAGGGAGATATTTCAACGAAGTTTGTTTCACCAATGCATCATCTTCACTACTGAATACTGCAGTGAATTTCAAATACGCTTTTACCGTATCCGTTCACATTTCTTTCGTAAAAATATAACACTGTGAGTGTTCTGTAATCCAAAGGGATGGCTCACATACATTACTGGAAAACACAAGGATGATATTGTACTCTCATGGACTTTTTTATCTCACGCAACGAGTAGTGAATTCGTTTATCGGAACTGCATGCTATTCATGTTCACAAGAGATAAGCTGTATTGGGTTACTAAACCTGGAACATAAATGGCAGATACACTTGATAGTACCCTGGGCCAAGGTGATTAGTGAACTGCAAAGCACCTGATTATTGTTTTCCAGCTAAAACCCTATCCTGGTATGACAGAGTGTCAAGTCTTTTTTGGTTGAAGGGTAACTGAGAACAAATAGATAAACTCGGATATTTTTTATAAAATGAATAAAACAGTGAGAGACAATATGCATTTTTCAATTACAGTTGAATTCCCCTAAACTTGTTTCGGTTGCTTTTATCAAATCATTTCAGAGAGATTGAAACTCTTGACGGGACCGTGATTATCGAGTAATGTTTACCATTCATCCTTCTTAACCGTCTTTCGTGGGTTTCAGATCTCTGTGGTTTGTCCATCCACAACTGGGTGTGGTCTTATATCCGAAAAGTAACTGACCCATGACTTAGGGAAGAATAAACTTAAACAATGCGAACACTATCATAACCGTTGCCATTAGTATTGTTATTGCTATGGAATCAGACGGAACAAACCATGCGCTACCACGTCAAACTTAACTATCCGCCTAACCAAATTATCGAACGAAAGGTTGCCGCAAATGCAACCTGATATTTTGCCGGCTAAAAGTCAAGCACGTGTACAATATAAATGACAAGTGGTCTGAAATGAACTCCGCAATAAAAATACTCCAATTCGTCTGTGGTATGAAGAGCACCAATTGGGTTGATTATCTGCGACAAGAACTAACGAGTACAACAGGAAGTGGTTTTGTTTGGACCCAACGGTTTTGATATTTTTCTGCTGGAATTTGATGGTGTCATATCGTATTGTGGCTAAGAGCCCGCAACTGACCAGATAATTCTTTTGTACCGCGGCATCAGGTGGCCTGGGAACGTAAGAAACATTTACACATAAATGGAGCAGTCGGAGCATGCTTCTAAACCAAAAAGCCACTCTATATAGAAAGCAATTTTGATAGAAAAGTTTGACGGACAGACTAAATTGAAGAATAACGTATTGAATAAATCATAAGATGACTTTAACTGAGCTTTATTTTTTAATTTTTTTAAAATTTATATTTCACTGGGATGAAAAGGCTGAAAACTTGACAATAAACATTGGTCTTTTTCTAAGGGTGATGAGAATTATTTCGGGCAGGTTTTAGTTTTTCTTTGTTTCCCAATTGCCATGAATCATAAAAAGATATTGGAATAAGTGTTCCTGTTGTTGTTTATCCCCTTTAAGACACTGGACGAACCTGGATCGAGTATGGATTCCAGTTATGTCCAATCTATTCTTGGACTCAGATCAATGGGCCGGCCCTGTGAGTCGACTTTCCAGGTGTTCATTGCTTCGATGTCGTGTACAGGTGGATAACGATCCATCCTCACTAGATACCCCGACTGAAGTACCTTCTGAGTGGAATCCAACAAAACCAATTTTGCGTATATTATCCCACAAAGAGTGGTTGGAACCAACATGTACCAGACGGTCTGCTTTTGTGGCATACAGTTCGACCAGTCAAATTCAAGAGGTAGTTGTACATGATGCATCCGTTACAAATTTCAGATGTTTCACGCTGAGTGCATGCATTCATTATCTTCGTCAGATAAGCCTCGACCAACTTGAAGAAGGTTCTCCTGGAATCGGATTCAATTTCATGATTGGAAATGACGGCACAGTATACGAAGGTCGGGGGCTAAATTACGAGGGATCACATACACACGGACATAATATGCACACCTACGGAATAGCATTTCTAGGTTCGTATCCGTTAAATTTTCCTGCCGTGACTCCACTACAGGCATTTTGGTATCTGATCAAATATTTGCAATTTAAAAAAATGCTCCCAGATGATTTTCGCCTCAAAACTCACCGTGATCTTCATCCAGACGACTGCCCGGGTCTCGCATTGCAGGCCCTTATGCATACCTGGTCTCAGGGTACACCAAATCCTGAAGAGAGTAAAATTGAGATATGTGCGTCCGAAGGAAAATCTCCCTCCACTGGTTCGTTATCTGCCACTACCATAGGTTTGTTTGTGCTTTCCAGCCTAGTCGTACTTGGTTTGGGGTTGCTCGTTGCATCTATAGTGGTGAACTATAGTATTAGCAGAAGTTCTCCAATCGGTGGGACATCCAGTCTGATTGAGCACACACCGGAATGTCAACGATGGTCCGAAGTTTGTCGTCGAGTTAACAAAAGCCAATTACAATTTCGTCACACAGATATTCATCCAAATATGCCCAATTCCGATCAGGGTAGATACCGGCTATTTCTGAATGCCTACCAACTTCCGGCTCAGGTGAAATTGGGACTTGCATTTCATCAGAGCTTGAAACCGCGGGGCTATAACAAAGAACTTGCTCTGATTACTCTGTTCTGTCAGAATTGGCGAAGTTTACTCGAACAGGATTCAATTCCACCACTACTTCTATTGATGACTTTGTCTGCATTGCGGAGATACATCATAGTCCCGAACGATATTCGTCCACCTCTTCGGATTCAGCTGCTCACTTGTTATCTGGATTTTATGATTGTTGTAGCAGCCCACAACGATTTAAACTACAACGATCAGATGGCGGAACTCTGTTCTGATACGTCAGTCATCACAAGTGTAAGAAGGGAAAGATCAACGTGGAATCCTTTCTGTGGTCGATCTTTTCGACTCAGTTGTTTGAAATGTGATTTATGTCAACCACTTGAAACACAAGAAAATTACACTTGGACCAGTGGTCACAAAGGACGGCGTTCAGGGAGAAAAAGATTCACACTTGGACGTAAATCCACCGAGCCACGAATGAACACCTATTATGTGGGCAACACGGAGTGGCACAAGTTTAGAGAACGACAAAACTTATATGCCCGGATTCCAGAGCTTGAAGATGAAGAGACAAGTTTCCAAAAGTTTCTGGTCTACCGGGAATCCTCGTTAGATGGTACTTAAATGTTTCAGCTGTACGCAACTAAGACGAAACAAACTCCCCGCACACCGAAATCAGTCACACATCTGAATTCCGTTGTGCCCATCTAATTTTTTCGCTCACTTGACCAGTCACATTTTTGATCAAATAATACTTTTCTACTAAACTGCCTATCCTTCATTCTCGACCGATAACATCCAACTTATTGGCCAAACTGAAGACCCCGATATGAAACATGCTTGTAACAATTGTTTTTTATACTATCCAATGTCAATTCTCAAGTAGAACAGACGTAAAACGGAAAATACGTCGTCTTTTCACACTGGGATCTACGATTATATGACTTTCACGTGATACGGTCATTTACTGTACCTTTGACTAAACGTCCTCTCGAATCGAATGTGATAATGACTGTTATTTGGAGTGAGCGAAATAGACTGGACCAACAACATGGTTTTGTTCTCTTTGCACAAGAGCAAGGAAGGATTTGATTCAAGTACCTAGTGGATTTCGTCGTGTATATGACCAGATGAGTACAGAACAAAAATTATAATAAAAAGAACGAATAAAATATATGTTTACGCTTTGAACACCGGCATTCACGGTTATTTTGTGGCAGATATTTATTCTCACATAATACCGAGTGACGCGTGGTAATACAATGAGGAACACAGATGATATATCTGAGGAAAGTGACCATGTTGTATCACTGGCTTTAGACGCAAATCCAGTCTATCGTTCAAGTAAACGATTGGATGCAGCAAACAAATAAAGTACTAGCGGGGTTATTTGGGAGTAACAAGAAGAAGGAGAGGAATAAAGAACGGGTTTACCAGAATCGGTATGAGAGAACTCAACAGAGCTGAATAGCCACCTTTCGAGGTGCATAAAGCAAATACTTGACTTGATTTGATTGAACATTCAGATAGCTCACGCTATCTATGAAAACTCAAAGCAAATCACCTCAACGCTGACGAATACGATGAAGAGCAATACAGTTATTGCACTGAACGGGTAAGAAGGCGGACAAGGCGTGCCCGACGGTTTATAGGGCGAGACCTGCAAGGAAATGTTTACACGTACAACGAGACAGCATGACTCAAGTAAGGTGAACCCAGTGAAAGAAGAGCGTGTTCTGAGTCAAAGAGGACTACAGAAGACAAAAGGTGAAAACAGTATTACCACAAGTATGCTTATGCAACTCACCAAAACAGGTGCAGACTTTGCAGTTGTAAGTGAACTTTGCTTGAGCCCTTAAAAAACAATGTGTTCAGAATATGGAAACAGGAGGTAGTGGAAAGAATCGTTAATGATGCCGTTTTAGCTGTCCAACTTCAACCATACTGTTGGTGGAATTTGCCATGGTTGCGACAAATTAAGCTGTTATTAGTCCAGTGATAAAAGGCGTTTCTAATAAGAATAATCATTGGTATACCCGAGGCGCTTCCGCAAATTTGAGTAGTTTTTACTTCAAATTTCATGTGGCGAATAACTGTTTCTTTCTATTAGTTATCCAATTATTTCCATCAGACACATATTATACTAATCAATCATCCTCGGGCGTGCTGTTCATTGGCAAATAATGATGGTCCTTTGAATGTTTTCAGCTAGTCGAATGGTAAACAAGAAGCAGCCACAGCCAATTAGGGAACATTGCAGCAGCAGTCTATTAGCGGGTCGTGATAGACAGTACGAGGTAAGTACGAAAATAAAACTAATCAGTGTAATTACAAACAGAGCAAACGGGAGGATTCAAATGTTGTTTCCCTAGTCAGAGTTGAGAAGGTGATAAGCTTCCGATATGCGGGTGTACGTTAATTATTATATTTTCAAGGAGAATAATCGACAACTAGTGATGTCACGAAACGCTGAAGACAATTACATTGTTGAAATCTGCGCAGCGGAAAATGAGAAGCACATGTGTGTGTTGTGACGATGATTGTACGAAAAAAGGAGCAATTTACGAGGAAATTTTCTGATTGTGTTTTCTTCACAATCAATTTTGACTCTCATTGTGGTATCACATTCTGTTTTAATGAAATGTTTGTTTTACCGAGCATGGTCTTCCGCTCAGGTGTATATATAATTTGAGTTCAGTTGAAACCCAGGCAACACTTCGTGTGTGTATTTGAAATTGAAGAATGCGTGAGTATACAAGCGGCAGCTATTCAAGAAGAAACATGCGTTAAGGGAAAAGTACTTACATTGGCTTAGATGGTAAAGATCACTGCAACCATTACTGAAACTTGCAAAACCTGATGTAACCAAGGGCGTTCACTGAGTCTTTGTAAGAACCTTCAAGTAGATAGTAACAGTCAAAAATGGTTAATGCAAATTGTATGGCGAGCTTTTGATACCTGTATGTAAACCTACAGTATAAAGCTTCATAGAGGGCAAGAGCACGGTAAAACTCACCGGAAATTGTCATATCCTAGGTTATATGATAACTTATGACATATGGTAATAAAATAAATATTGGGGCCTTTACATAAGAAAGGAAATAGATTTCAAAATAAAGAATGCTGGTACTACACGAATCCCTTCCTCCTTGAAGTTTTGTGAGGATCTTAGAATAGTCAAATATAGGCAAGGTGCGTGAAAGTAATACGAATGCTTATGTGGATGAGGAAGAAAACCAAAAAGAGAAACACTGTCTGATGCAATCAATTTGGACAAATTATCAACACAGTATGGTGCATGTAGAATTCCATGAAGGAAAATAATTTCTAACCGATTGTTATCCAAGAATTAAAGCGGTATTTTGAGTAAACGTTCTTGAAGTAGGGTACTGCTCTAGACGAATGTACAGAAGAGTCATTGGTTCGTCACTCGTGCGTTGTAGCAAATGGTGTCCAGTGGGTGATTGCAGGATTCAGTGTGTCGTTCGTAGCCCCTTTTTGGTTCACCAAGTGTAATGGTTGAAGTATGCACAGACCACGAATTACAAATCATGTATCAGGAATCACGGACGCCACGTAAGCATTGAATCACACTGGTACTTGCACGACGGTATCCCGTGCAACCGAGACGCAAGGGAAAGGCTAAAGCAGTAGCAGTTCATCTATTGGAAGAGATCATGGGGGTTAAACAATATGTACAAATGAAGTTTATTTGTTATCCAGGCATCTACCAATCGTTTGTTCGTATTCCTGGCGTCGTACAGCTTCTGTCTGGGCTACACGGCTTTCGATTGGTCGGCACGATCTGCCAGTGGTTCGTCATCCATAAGCTTTAACGCGTAGGCGCTCTGAGAAGCTTGACTGACGATATTTGTCCGGAGACTGTAACGTATCGCCCCGTGGTTTGCGTCACCCCGTAACCTAGGATCACCACAAATCTCCTCCCTTAAAAGAGCCGCGTCGATTTGACCTGCTCTTCTGGTTGGTATTCGCAGCGCCAGTGCGGTATTCCAGGAGTATGCAAGTACAGCTTTTCGTTCTATGCATCTGATAATTTACCACATAAGACGGGCTGAGTAGCGACGCGTAACGAATTCTGCCAAACAAGCTAATCGCGAG